ATCTACTCTCAAAGTCCTGATTCCTGGGTTGTCAATCAAGCAGATTCGACACGTCCTGAATGACTTGTATCCGAAAGAGGAATACGAATCGGGGTACTTGAGAGTATCCCAGCTTATAACGGACTTCTTGTTTGCATGTCCTGTAAGCTGAAGAGTCGGTTATTGGGTTTGGCGAGTGAATTCAACGTCTGATTGTTATTCTGAATGCCGCTGTCTCAAATTAGGCCCGGATTCTAGCGAGGACGTACGCAACGGCTGGACTTCCTGTCTTTAAGGTATGCTGCGAAGAGATGCGTTGTCATTTGAGCTTCAACCTTACGATCGTCTGTTTTTGGCCTGAAGCACATTGTCTGCAACTCACCGTTCAATCAACCACAACATAGTATCGATTCGATCAACACGATTTAGCTGATCCGATATTCCCAAAACCTGGTGTTGAGTTAGGAGCTTATCATGCTTCTGAAATTCAGGTATGGTTCTTTTCTTCTCGCTTGTCTTTAGCCATCCGTCAAGCAAAATGCTTACAAACTCGCTTCGTATACACAACCCTTAGTTCGTCTTCAACGTCCTGCCACGCTTGCTGTCACCAGAGGAAGAGCTCCTCTCCTTACGTATGGTTGGACGGTGGATTTCGTTCGCACATTCAGGAAATCCAAATAGCGAGGCTAATGGTGGTGGTCCGACTTGGCCACAGTATGAAGAATCGAGTGGATGGAAACAGGCTGTGTTGGTAGAGCCTGGATTTGGAGAAGAGACTGATGTTGGAATGGATTTCAAGTGTGATTTTTGGGATTCTGTTAGTGATGAGTTGCATCATTGACTTCGCTGAAATTACAGTGGGCAATGGTTTGTTAGTGTTTCTAAGACTTGTATTTTCCTGACTCTATAAATACCCTAACTATTGCATTTTTGCCATCCAGCGCAATGTTCCATTGTTTACACCAGTTGAATAAAACTAGTATTTCTCGCCAAGTTGGATTTTCGAAACCACGGAAAAGGAGGAATGCATTCCTGTTTGACTTGTATTTCAGGAAGGACCACACAGGAAGACAGTAAACAGTGGGACTGACTGAAGATGTTTCAAGGCAAGATGAGCGAACACCATCATACTGGCATCGCAAACGGCGTATTGACTTCAACGAATCAAAAGAAGCAATAGTCATTGAGCTAGGGACTTCTCCAGCGCCATCATCGCCTCATCGAGGACAGAAGAAGAATACGAGCTCCGTTGATTACTAAGACGCTAACATTCAGCCAAACACCAAGCAAACGACCAAAAGTTCCCTCTAGCTCTTGACTAAGTCTCACCCAGCAGGGTCCTAATCTTCTTCGTGTGCATACTGTGACATGTTCAAGCTCTTGTTTAATTGTTTAGGTTTCCGCAGTCACACCTTGACGGTATCGTGAAGGTCGTGTTGGATTTACTCGGATTATGAGATTGTATCCTATTATAAGGAGCTACTAATATCTTGTAAGAACAAACAAAAGGTTAAAAAATGTAGAGTAAGACTTGGCTCCTCTTTGCAAACTAACTGCCCACAAACGAAAGCAATTTCAGCTGCAACATACTGAAATACCAGCAAATCTTCATCTCCAAAGGCACCAGAAACGTCAAAACGCGATACGATAAAGCAGCGGTACCCAGCACCCTCCGCCGATTCGAAGAATGCCATTGAGGGCCCTCAACCACATTCCGTCCTCGATGTCCGATGATTCTAAAAGTTCATGATTCTGTCAACATAGCCGGCGATGGTTCACGTTCGACGATCAATCGAAAGGCCCATATCGTAATAGTAAGTCAACGTGTCGTTTAATCAGGTAGCGAATTATTTGAGGGACAACTGTTGGCTTCCCAAACTCGATTTCACAGGCTAGTGGGTTACGACTTGTGATAGTCGCTGTTGCTCTGTTGAAGCTCCTAGTATGAGTCCATCGATATGACATGGAATCGAGAGATCTTGTTTCGTTGAGATGGGTCAAGGGCTCTCTCAGTTCTTCTGAGATTTGATGAACTTGTAAAGCGAGGAGGCGTTAAGGCTTGGAGTGGATCCACGCATCTGCTCACTCTTGATGAGGCCTTACGGCATCGTTCCTTCGATGTGGGTATGAGGCTTGCTCCGACATTAATTGAAAGTTCAAGTTGGAACTCGACGCTCCCCACCGGCCAGCAAGTAAAACCACAATGACGTTACGGAACAGTCTTTTCTGGTTTGCCCATGAGAGCGGTGAAGTAAACTGGCTATAAGGAGTCAGACTCTCCATTTCTGTGTTGATTCGGAATTCATCAGGTGATACGTTTTTAAACGGGTTAAGAGAAAGAGCTGTTCCAACCATCCCCTCAAACACGTACTCTGTCCAGATCACGACATAAAATGAAATTGCAGATGAACTTGGCTGTCACGGCTGAGAAGGATACCAAGGAAACTGTTGATATTGGCGGACGGTATCGCAACGAAATTATGAACGTTGTTACAAAGGTCGAGACTTCCAACAACCACTGAAAATGGAGCTGTTAATATATATCAGTCTCGTTTATACTAAATACTAAACAAACTGCATCAGGTACTAATACAACTTTCGAGCAGCGAGACAGGTTAATGAGCGAACGCGATTCAGCCAGCTTTGAACCGCACAAAACCAACCATCACGTAAAGCGTGGATAGTAATTTCTGTTTAAACACGCTTTTAATGCCTTTTGCTGTTTGAATTAAGTGTCTCCCCACATTGTATTTCTCGATTTCTCCAACATTTCTCGGCCGCCTGCTGTAAAAACAGAAACCCACAGCGCCTTCATTCGTAGCAACATACCCAACAAAGATGAAGCACGGACCAAGGACGACGGTCATGCACTTTACAAGGCACTCTGATATTGTAGGCTCTTGTCCCCTTCTCTCTTAATCCAACGGACATTCGCCACATTGATGCTCAGATTTTGTCCACTTTGGAACTCTAGATCTGTGGGGACTGAGGCAGCCAGAAGGTAAGTATTCGATGGATGCACTCATTTTATGTGCATTGCTTGCCTTTCTTCGCCATGTTTGTATGGTTTTTTGACCGTCATCTCCAAGTTGCCGCTATTGACATTTGACATCAAACTGACCGAAAACAATAACTCGTCCATTTGCAAATAGACCAAGTGCACCAAAGTGTTTCTCTCACTCTACTGGGATACAGGACGCTAATTACATCAGGTGATACTCGTTTCAGCCGAGACGAGGAGTTAGCCATTCCAAGACATCCTGAACACGCACTCTCGTCCACAATTTTGGTTTTATCTCAACCAAAGTGTTAAAACACTCGACACAAGATGATGCTCATTTCAGAGAGCATCGGTCTTGCTGTTGGTGGGACTTTAAGCATCAGTTCTCCGATGCGAGGGTAATGTTTGCGCCGACATTGACCCCTTTCCTTAATACGGAGGGTTGATGAAGGTATCGACGCTTCAGTTGGCAGACTAGTGGAATGAAAGTGATGCGTTGGAGTGGCTCCCTTCGTTTGCTGTTGTTGTTGCTTTAACTCCTCGATCCCTCACTCTGGGCTTCTCCTTTTGTTTAGACATGCTCATACCACACACTGGCTACATGGATTCAAGCTGCTGATTCTCTATTTGGACTCAACGGGACGACATCAGGTGATACTCGTTTCAGCCGAGACGAGGAGGTAGCCACTTCAAGACATCTCCTACACGCACTCTCGTGCTTACGTGGTTGGGTCTTAGTACTGATGGTAGCTTACACCACAAAACAAGTACCTCAACGTGGGTAACTATAATTGAGTTATTTCCCTATTGCAACTTTCCTGTTGGAATATAGGTACTGCAGCCAATGCCGGTCTCAACCCTGGAGAAATGCAGAGGGCCTATACCACTAAGATCCTGTGAACCGTCTATAGTAGAATATACAGAATAGAGGGATGTATCGGAACGTACTGGATAGGAGAATGTGTCGTTTCATAAATATATTCTTGAATTTTACAGAGCGGTCTGCCGACAGCTGAAACGACGTCTCAAACTCCCAACGTATAGACAACGCGTTAACTCCAGTACGTTCTCAGAGAGAGGTATAGACTTGAAGGCCTCATAATGAAGTACAGTGAGCAACGACCAATTCATTCTGCTACCTCAGGCTCAGTTGAAACAGCACATTGCGGTATAAGTAGGTCCCCTTCACAAAAGTTCCTACAATTAAAGCAATGCAGCGGCCCAGCCCCCTCTAAATAGCTAAACGGGTCATTTCTGAGGTCTAAAAGATACAGCGATCACAGGCACCGACTTCTAGCTCAGTGAACGGCTTCACGGAGGTCCTCCGAAAAGAGACTTTTATCGAGGAGGCCTGCGACCAATTCCAATGCCTGACTTAGGGCAGATTGTATGCGTCCAGACTAAGTTGATTCGAGACAAGCGCGAGATGGTTTTGAAAATCAGTCAGGCGCAAACCTGTGACGTCGAATTCTGGTGGCTACGACGATACGAGACCAACGGCATAACAAGTGAAACGTGTATAGAGATAGAGTCCAGAGCGATGAGATGTGTTATGGCATGAGGTTCCTAGTATTGTTGTTTGCAGCGAGTCGATGTCATTTCAAAACTTGGAACTTGCTTTCCCGAGGTTTGAGGTATAGAGTCTGATTGAAATCATTATCTGACCGGTGAACCTCATGCAAGCAGAACTATGATCTAATCGCCTCCTCTCCCGTTCTTCTATAAAGTGTGATCTTGAGGTCGTACGTCGATAATGTAAATCAGCAAGTCTGCACAAGGTCACACAACAGAGACGCGAGACTCAAAGGAATCGCTCATGAACGTGTGATTCGCTCACAGGAATCAAGTCATTTCATGGAAACTACGAAGAGATCGAGCGGTGTTTAACATTCGCTAATATGCAAACCAGCATTTTCCGTTTGATGATTATTTAAACATGTATCTTCCATTACTGTATAACTACTCGTCGAAGTAACTACTCTTACATACTTGGAGTAAACACTGGCGTACTAGCATTCGTTTATGAGGTTGTAGCTTTGCGATAATCGATATATCCAACCAATCCATTCCCCCGCCTCTGCATTTCAGACGCCATGGAGAGGTAGTTGGGCGATATTGCATTCTTCTTTGACTTGTCCTAATTTTCAGAAGAGCAAGAAGTGAGCTAAAATAGGGTCTTCGTAGCAAACACGCAATCTTACATCAGACATCGTGACATTTGGCGTAAACGCATATGGCGTATTGACTTTAAATGAGCCAGAAAACGCGATTGCCATTGGATTGAAAAGTACTCCAACAGCATCACCACCATATCGATCATGGAAGAATAGTGCCAGGTCTTGATATGATTCCTAAATTGTTATTGAGCATTAGCTCAAACTTTTTTTGTTGGCGTATCGAACACCAACGAGATCAAAACTCACCTCTAGCTCCTGCACATATCTCTCAGCAGGATCCCAATCGTCTTCCTGAGCATCCTGCAACACTCTCAAATTCTTGTATTGCTGTCTAGCTTTCGGGAGGAGCGAGGCATCACATGTGAGGTTCTGACGGTATCGTGGCAGTATTGTTGGGTTTAATCGGATTATGAAGTCGTAACCGGTAGTTGGTGTAACAAACAGTTTCTAAAGACGAAGAACGCTTAGCTTATGGCATGATATTAGCCAGATCTTTTTTGCTGCTTTGCTGGCAAAAAAGAAACTCTCGAAAGCAGAACATTGGTTTACCAGCAAATCATCTTCACCGCAACCACCAGAAACACAAGAGCTCCATACTTTGACTGCTGCAGCAGCCAACGCTCTCAGCCGATTCAGTATAAGTCCATTAGGGGTCTTGAACCAAGTGCCCTCTACGTCTTCTTCACTCGCGACAAACATATCCTTCCCACTACCTCTCATCTTAAAAGCTTCCGACACCTTATTAATAACCTCAGCCGTAACACCACCGACTGACAATTCCACCAATAACGCGTCCGTGCTCCATGAATGTGTAGCCAACAAATACAACACTCTCATCATTCCCACAAGATGTAACGAGGGTGATGTCCACATCGCACCACGTTGTGAGTCAGTTACGACTTTAGCACATATTACTTCGAGGACTTCATCGGATATGAAGCGAGACAGAAGGTGTGATGAGACCCATCTCTTTACGAGGCGAGTTATAGATGAATACGATGGGAACCGAGTGGCAATGTTGGATATGAGTGCTGCGTGGCGTGGTTTACGGATGTATAGATGTTCATACTGTGTTTTAGCTCGTGTGAGCACATCCCGTTGCTTGATATCAAGTGCGACATTAGATAACTGTCGTTCAAGTACGACAAATTCACGTTCATTTTGTATAAATAATCTAAAAGCAAATCCAGAGGGTATTGTCACGTCTGCCCATCCTTCTTTCATTTCATTAGAGTCTGGGGCAGCTACTTTGGCAGTTACTCCAGGCATGACTTGAGCTAATAGCTCAATCATCTTGATCAAGAATGCTACCTTGAATTTATGTATGGCCTGTAAATCGTCTGGCCATCGATTCGAGGATTCAAGTTGGACTATGACTTCCATAGGTGAATTGTACGACGGAGAAGACGACGTCGGGATAAATACAGAAGTATACGTCAATTCAGAAGATATGGGTATCAATGACGTGACAGACAGTGGCAAATCATCCATCTCTCGTAGTGCTTTACCCAACGATGCTAAAGCTTCCATCACTGGTGTAAAACTACTCGGCCTTAATTCATGTATGCTGCTCAGCATAACATCTAATTGTGTACCCCATATCGTAGCAGTGACTCCAACATGTCTCTTAATCAAGTACTGGATCATTCGCGGCAAGATGCCTGAACGTCCAGTTGACTCATCAGCTTCAAAAACGACCGAGTACTTTATGCTGCCGTCACGGAATCGTCGTACTTCAGCCTTTTCACCCCACAGTTGACAGAAAGCTTTCGATGCATCGTGATCGTTGGCATCTGGACCCATTTTAACGGCCTTCATGGATTCTTCTGCGTCTATTAACATTCCGATTTGAAGCTGTCGTTCTTGCTTATTATGTGAAGTAGAGATATTTATCGGTGTTGGTTGTAACGGAGGTGATCTGACAGTCACGAGTTGGAGGCGAGATCCAAGTGCTTGACTTAGAACTTCTGGTAGTCGTGATATTAAGTAATCGTGTTGAGAATGTACATCAGTACCATCGTCTAGTCGTGGTATAGGTAGCTGAGTAGCTGGTGTTGTAATCCTGATCGACGTGTCATAATGTGAGTCCAACGTTTCTTGACAATAACGCGGATTCTCAACAACTCAGCACAACTTACGTAGCAAGCATATCAAACTTGAGCATTCCTTCTTCTACATTCCTTAAGAACAGAGCCTCAAACTTGTCCTCAGTAGAATTATTGAATAGCATAATAGCGAGTTTCGCTTCATGATGCAATTGCAATAAACCGTGTTTTGATACTTGAGCGGCTAGATTCAGGCGACCTGATGGATCAACGATGACCACTTCAAAGTGTTGCTCAAATGTTGCTTCCGAAAACTACCGATATCAATACGATTAATGTAGCGCCTTTTTTGTAAATCAACTGCAAGAGTTTGGAACTTACGTCAGGAGTCGACAGTGGCTTAGCATTAGAAGTCAGAAACCAAGACTTCTGTACAAACTCATTGGAAGCTACGAGCGAGCGCATTCAGTTATTAAGCTGACCTACAAAGAGGATTCAACCAATGGACGAATGCTCACCCATGAACTGCATAACCAACTTCAGAATCTGATAGGAACTCAAACTTCCACCTCCAACACCCTTCCCACTAGGGCCAGTCTTTACAAGCCATGCCATCAATACAGAGCACAGAAATCCATAATCACCAAGTCCTCGTTGACGCAACCATACTTTGACGAGGATGGAAGCGTCCATCAGGGCTGGAGTTCCTTGAATGGCGGTGTACATATAGTTCAGATGTGAAATATATGATGATTCGGAGAGGATTGATGTGTTATATTTGGGAGTTGGTGGCGACGTTGGTGATCGCACCGAGTTTCGTGATGGAGCGAGACGTGACGCTGGGAAGAGGGATGGCGATATGCATGGTAGGATACGAATCTGGAAGGACGAGGATGTGTCTGTTTCTGATACATCTAGGAAGACGGAGTAGGAAATAATGAGCTCTGGTTATGGACAGTGTGGTTCATATCGTCTTTTTTGCAACTTACCAGAAAAGGAAATAACCAATGCCGAGCGACATGAATCTAATACTTGATATGTCAATTCTATTCCCAATCCCTTCTTCTGCTTGTTCAGCTCGGAAGCAATCACAGCCAAGTAGTAGGCTCTCTTATAGAAGTATCGATGGTTGATGTGATCTCGTTCTCCAAATATTTCCTAATACAGCCCCAAAAAAAAACTTAAAGAGCAATACTCCATACCACTACCACTGCGGTTGATACTTACATCAGGCATTTGAACAGCCATATCCACACTCTGAGCGTGTTTACTCTTAGAAATAGTCTTTAACAAGTAACTTCCAATAATGGAGACTTTACTTGGCCGTTGGAATGCAAAGCTGCATTTGATGTCTCCTGGAGGTGCAGGTGACGGGAATGGGATGCTGACACCTTCTGAAGCTAATGTAGATTGAGCTTCTTCCAACTAGAACGAGCAAACAAAACTGGGTAAAAAATCACAAATTGGTATAACAAAATGTGTTGGTTCAAACTTACAGAAACTTCATCACGAGGCTCCAAAGTATCAAAGAAGTTCTTCAATTTATGCAACATGCCATCCAGAGTCGTCATGCGTGTGTATTTGACTCGGACCTCAGAGAGCATCTCTTCAAGCTAACGACGATGGGTGTTGGGAGTGAGTGTGGCGAACACAAAAAACCCATATATGAAGATTTATACCTGCAACTTGAACAGATTCGACTTGAACAACTCTGAGGTATCCTTCAGTTGTTGTATCTCGTCGTGGGTTGGAGGTTTGATATGCGTCGTCCTCTTTTTTTTTCTAGGTGGCAGCTTTCCATCAGCATCTGCTGGTGACTCTGCTTCAACACCACCAAGCATATCAGCATGATCGTCATCAATGGCGCTTTGTGTATCAGCCATATCGTCATCACTGCTATCTTCTGCTGTAGCTGCTTTCAACACCAAGTCACCGTCCGACTTGTTTAGAGAGTCCATATGGGATTGTTCTTTTGCCAAATCAGCTTTTATGACATCTAATAATGCAACGGATGGATCTTTATCGAGCTTGTGATGGTTTGAGTCAGGTATGGAATCGTTGTTGGAATCGTTGTTGCGATGTAGTTTCTTTCCACCCGGTTTTGCGATAGTGTGTTTGATGCTACTCTTTTCTGATCGCATGAGGTGTAGAATGGATCTTGTTTTAGACTGACTTGGTACATCCTATAATGTTTGTCGAATGTGTCAACTTTTTTTTTCTCAAATGTTGGTGCAGCCAAAACGACTCTGAACTTGACAAGGTACGACACACGTAAAGGGACAAGATCCAACGCATTACAGCGAAAAACACGTACCTCCGTAGCAGTTCTCTTCTTCTTTAGACCTGGCATCTTGTCGTTTTGTCAACAAAATGTTGAGTGTGATTTTCTGATTCTAAAAAAAACACGCTCACTTCAGCAAACGCTCGTTGCCGAATAAGCGAATCGCAGACGCCCGGAACAGGAGCCGAACGTCTTTATATAGTATTTACACGTGATATTAGAGTCAAGAACTATCATAGAACTAGCTCGTCCAAACACTTTTCGATTGCAAACGAGACACGCTCAAAACGACATATTTAATAACTCACAAGCGCACTACAAAAGTGCAGGTCAAGTAATGACTGATTCATTGGCACCCGAATCAGCGTGGATGTTACCGTCTAGTCAGCCTGGTAAGTGGGCTCGAAAGAGGTTCTTTTGGTCTTGTAAATAATTCTCCTCGGCTGGATAACAAATCGTATGACTGGCAACATAAATCAACTACTGACGGCATATAATTCATATAATTTATCATAATCCTCCAGCATTAGGTGAAAAGATGAATCGTCTTCCACCTGCTCTTGAACCTCATGACCACAATCGGCAAGAGTTTCCGCAAGCATTGATTGGGTTGGATGGCAAAAAGAACATGATACAGAGCTTATTCGCTCATGAAAAGCCTCCTCTACTTCCGCCTCTACAGAATCATAGAAACACGTCAGGTACGAGGAGAGATTTTTGTATAGTTCTTCTCCTTTCTGGGCTAACACTCCAACACCTTATAAAACGCGAAATCTCCATAAAATAATCATATACATACAGGCGTAAGATTCATCCATCAGGACGCAAACGCTCACGATCATCACATTCAACCTATGTCGAACGTAAGCCTTATTTGTCTTACATCAACAAAACCCAAATGAACTTCCTTTGAGTTTTGAGTGATCGTTTCATAATATAATACAGGTACAAGAGACCACTCCACAGCCAAGTGAGGGCGGCAATCACTCTATAGATATCCCTGTTGGATTATCGAGAAGAGACTCAATCACATCAATCGCTTCATCTACTGCATCGGACAATCAACAACCATCAGGTAACCTCCTAAAAGAAAAGAGAATCGACTGATTTGATGATCTCAGATATCTGAAATGAGATCTAAATATCATCTATCATATCTTCGAAATGCGATTCTTTCAAAGCCATCAAAAAACTGACATCAACATTCAATCATCGTGTAGGAGACAAGAAGCGTCAAAAGAACAAGAACGGTCAATTTATCAAACAGAATAGTGGTCTCGAAACCGATTCAGAGACTGACGCTGTCTCCAATACTGCTACTCTCACGGGTGACAAGTTGCTCAAGTGTGAAGTTGAAGGGTGCACCAAGTCCTACGAAACAAGACAGGTAAGAAAATATGTTGATGAAAGATTTTGTAGCTAGTTCCGCTTGATATCGATTGAGTCTGACTCGACCCAACCTACACTCCTTAGGGCCTGAAGTGGCATTTACGAACAGTACATGACAATCAAGGTCGACAGGTAAATAATCGTGATCAACCACCTCCACAACCTTCTCGTCGATCTGAAAGACGTAAGCGATCGGCTAAAATCGTTTTGCTGAATGAAGGAGTCCTGAATTGAACTTATATTTTGTCGCTGCATAGCAAGACGAGGCATGTCGAGGTTGAACAGTGGTAATGGCCATTCAGATGATGAATCTGATGGCAATCACTCACGTCTGCCGTTCTCTCAAGAACCTCCATCATCTGGAGGTGCTTCTTCATCACGCCCTAGGAATGGACGAAGAGATACTGGTCGCAAACATGGACGTGGGGATAGTGATGACGAAGGAGATAATGTAGATGTTGGTGGAGAAGGGCATGATGATGCTGGTGATGACGAAGGTATGATTCAATCGGCTACGCTCCAGCTTTATTTCGAAACTGAATCTGACAATTCGACCATTTAGAACCTGATAGTAAAAAACGTCGACTCAATAATGGTACTACAAGCTTCAATCGTCCCATGGAACAATCTTCCAGCCAACTAATTGGAAAATGGTATTGTGGAGTCAAGAACTGCAACAAGAGTTACACTTCTAGACAGGGTAATTTATATGCCAAGTCTGATCACATTATGAGTATTTCCTGCCCTATAAGCAAATCACCACTTGAATTCATACTCACTAACATTTTTTGTCTCAGGATTTCAATATCATTTGATTAATGGTCATATGAATGAAAGGCCATTAATGATTACAGGACCTCATGGATTTGGTATGTGATATAGTATATGGTTGTCTATGCCAATGCATGATCTAACTCTACTCGTTTCATAATTCCCTCCATAGTTCTCGACAATCCAGATCAACTGATTGTCATATCGTCACCACATCCCGTTGATGTGGCACCAATGACCAAAGCTCAGCGTGAATCTACTCGAGAACGAGAACGCGAGAGAGCACGAGCAGAACGAGCTGTCAAAGAAGCCATAGATAATGGTATGTTGATTGCTCTACCTTTTGAATTCGTCGGAGAAAAGAGTCGAAGTCTGCCGGCCTACGACCACCTCGTCTCTAATCACCACCATTCCTTTCTGTAGTCAATGCTGCCAATGCGCGAGAACGTGCTCTTTCTAAGCGTCGTCAAGAAGTAGCAGATGAGCCGAGGACTGCCTTTCTCAAGGAATGGGTAAGTTTGACCCGACGGGATCTGCAACATACTGGCGTTGACTGGGTAGATTTTTTCGTCCAAACTTTTCAAACTTTGCCTCCATTTTACAGAAATCACAGTATCCCAATATATGTTGCATTTGTGATAAGCCAGGCGAGCCTGGTGATGAATTGGTAATCTGTCAAGGAGCTGATTGTGCAGTCACAGTTCATGAAGAATGTTATGGTATCGTTGGCTTGCATCCTTCGCAAATACCACGATGGCGTTGTGATCGATGTGCATACTTTGATTCCTCTCTTGCTGTGAGTTTGCCTTTTTTTTACGCAGCGAACCCAAAACTCACCAGATTTACATTTTCTTCTATTCAGACTTGTGTACTATGCCCTTACCGTGATGGTCCATTCCGTCGCGTAAAGGGAACAGACCAATGGGTCCATATTGTATGTGCAGTGTGGGTTGAAGATGTCGAATTTGGAGATCACGAACGAATGTGTGACATCACACTCGACAAGATCAAGCCTACGGCTTGGGAACCAGTGTGCTCTATATGTACTGATGAAAAAGATGCTGCATATGGTGTCAAGATGCCATGTCACGCATACCAATGCAAAAAATCTGTACACCCAATGTGTGCGCATAGTTATGGAGTGCTTGAGAATGCTGATGATGAAGTTTCGAATGAGGAGGATGAGCAGGAGGATCCTTTTTACGTGTTTTGTAAGCAGCATGGGAAGAATGGTGATCAGCCAAAGGTACGGTAACGAACCATTTATACTCGTGTCCGGGAAATTTTGTGCTTACGCTTTTCTTTGCTTCACTCAATCTTTCTTAGTTGCAACCTTGGGCAAAGTGGGTATCTCAAAAGCACAAAGGACTTGCTAAAATAGCAGATGCTGCACCGCAACATGGATCAAGCTCATCTGACATACGAGCTGTATTTGAAGATGCCATGTCGAAAAAGTCAGCTCAAGATGCAGAGCACTTCCGTCATCTCGAACACGATATATGTAAAATGACTGCTCAGCAAACCTACTACTCTGCAACCGAAGTTCCACGACTAGAATACGAGATGGAAGCAGCAGCCAAGGATATTGCAGCATGTAATGCTGAATTGGAACGATTACGCGCAGATATGAAGCTCTTGGAAGATTCTTTGGCTGCCATTGCACCTGCATTAGGTATTCCAACTGGTCCTGATATGATGAGAGCAGCTGCTGCTAAAGGATCTGCGCATGGTCATAATAATAGTAATAGTAGTAGTGTACTGGATGCCTTTGTGAAATCTGGAGAAAATTTGCAAGTAGCATCTCACTATCAGGATGTATTTGCTTCCGTATATGCTGCTCAACTTGGCGGACATGATGAATATGATGACGATGATCATGATTCAGTACGAGTCAGTGGTGCCAACAGGACTACTCACACACATAGAAAGAAGACTGGCAGTAGTAGCAGTGTGAATGGTACAGGTGGTGGTGCAATGAAACAAAAAGGTCTGGCACGAACTATAGCAGATCGCCAAAATGCATTGTTGGCTGCTGCATTGGCTAATGCTGGTGTATGTGACACGTGCAAGTCGTTGGAAGCTCCACCGCCGAGGCCTTCTGCATCGAGAAGTAGCCCTTCGAAGGCTGTGAAGAGTGGGAATGAACTTGTCGAGTGTACACAGGTACATTGTTTGGTCTTTAGACGTTGTTTTTTCTTCCTTTGGGGTGGCTAGTATCTGACATGAAGTTTCTCCTGTTCGCTATTAGTGTCGAAAATTGTGGCATATCGGATGTGTTAATCCTCCATTATCAAGGCCTCCTCCTCGTGGTTATGCTTGGCTGTAAGCCATCGTTTCGAAACTTTTCTGTCTTTGCTCTTGCAACCTGATTCCTTTCCTCACAAGCCTGCCTTCTAAACCTAGATGCGAAACCTGTGACGCAGCCATGTCTGAAGAAGAAGCAGGATCTGAACTTGATGGATCTCTACCACCTGGTACAGATCAAGAAGGATCAGATACTGATGCTGGTGGTGCAGCACGTAAACGACGACGAACTGTGCCGCCTACTAGGTTGAATATGTAAATTAAGAGTGTGAATTTGGGGACTTTTGAAATGCTGGGCTTGATGTATATCAGAGGTTGTGAATATGGATGGTGCTTTTTATATCTATTATTTGAACGAGGTGGTGTTTTCTTTGCTTGCTGTAAGATATGTATATTTGGTGTGTTTGAAACAAGAAACCTTTTTTATACCATGATTCGTTTGTATCTAATTTGGTATTGTTTAGCATTTGTGGTTTTCAAAGTTCGAGATTGAAGCACCTGCTTGAATAATATGCTTTGACGAATCCATCTTTCTTTCACAAGTTTCAGATAGCAAACAGTCTTGGCATTTAGCATGGTTTCTGGAATTGTGTTTCTCTGGTACATTCTTCAGAATTTGAGGTTGACATAGAATGGACGCAATTTTGATTTCTAATGCCATTTCGGTACCCTGGCAACGACTCGACTCATCAGCCATACTTCCACTGCCTACGGCAGTGACTTTTGGCTAGTAGTTTCTGATTTGACTTTTCTGTATGTGTCAATGATTGCTTGGATTTTCAGCAAACGAGTTTATCATAGCTGCAGAAAAATCATTCCTCCATTACAGTTGGTTTCTAACAAGCCGAAAAGGCGACATCTGGACTCGAGATTCCGTTGATTGTCCTGATGTGATCCGGATTGTAAAGTGCGATGTTCGGAGAATGAAGGATAGTGTTTGAAACGGACGCGACCTGGGTCCGCTGGGTCCGTGAGTCCGGTCTGTGTATCGAGCCACGAACTGCCTTTGAAATTCTTGGAGGATGAGGTTGGAGCTATGGTTGGAGAAGCGTGGGGATGCTGTTACATTGTCGACATTTGTCGTTTTATTTCGCAAGTGATTCGATTCTTACCAGTGTTTCTTTGGTGAGTATAGTTTCAGAACGTTGTTTTGCTCTAACATTTGTGTCTTTAAACCTTTGGTCCATTTGTGGTAAACCCAAAAATGACAAATTCAAATGTACGATTTATTTGGCCTTCTTTCAAACTTTCCCTCATCTCAGGTGACATTATAATACGGAGGTAGCTCTCCCCTAGTCTACGATGGTGGTTTACCGTTGCCTGCATCACCAATTCTTGGAGCAAGGCGTGAAAGCAACGATTGTAGACGTATCTCAGGATGTCGTTACTTGCAGCTCTGTCCTTGTTAACTTAGTTGTTTGAAGGACACGTCTCCATAGCACTTGTTGGTTGGACTCATTGATACGTTTTTGATTTGAGCGTATTTTCCGTCTCAGACTCTGCTGACGAATATTGATTATCCTTTGACATGAGGAGCTTCATGACAATCAAACACGAGGAGTTAGAAAACATTTTCCACCAAGCTTTGTGGATTACTCTGCTGTTTCACGCTAGACCATAGCCAAACATAATCTTAACATGTCCTGCTGTTTCACGCTAGACGATTACCAAGCAAAATCTTATAATGTCCGTTTATGAAATAATTAAAAATTTCATTGAAATTACAACTGTCCATAAATGTCATAAAGCACAACCCCAACTTTACGACGACTCAGGATAACAGCTCCCAATCCTCGCGCCGTCCCGATTCGTAAACCGATGCATTTTAATCCTCACCTCCGTCTCATCCAACACAGCACTCTCCTCATCCCGATCCGAAGCAAGAAACACCATCGTATACAGCGCGAGCTCAAACTCGGGCGACACGCCTATAAACATGGTGGAGACTGGTTTGACCTGGCCATTCCATTCAAGCTGGAGGGAGAGGACATGTTCTGTGCCGCTTGCGGGCTAAAAAAAAAGGGAAGTAAGGACAGGAAGACGCTGTGAAGCAGGAAGGGAGGGCACTTACACCACGACGTCTAGGCAAGATATATCCGAGATAGTTTACTTTTCCCTTCTTTTCTTGCACGAAAAAGTTAATCCAGTTGTGGAAGCCGACGACTTCTCCGTTCCGTGTTTCGCCGACGAAACAGTGCTCAAAGGCTGATGAGTCTCCTGCTATGACTCGTTTGTATGTCTAGTAAGGGGTAGCGAGAGGTGGTTAGCGATCAGCACAGACATGTATGATCATCGTGTGTTTATAGTATTGGAGGGGGGTTTTGCATAGCATACACTGGAAATAAGCAGCAGACTACCCAACTCACATCAAACCAAATACTCCACAGCTGGTTTTTGAACTTGTTGAGTTCTGGAGGAGACACGTTCTTGGCAACCAGATAGCTATTCAAACCCAGGACATGTTAGTACAATGCCTTCACCACCACAAAAAAGCCAAACACGAGCAATAAGCAGTTACGTACCTATGCAGATACGTCATTACATCCGTCTCACAACAAGCATCCACAAACCTCCTCATCTCACTCTTCTCATTCTCACTAAACGTCTCTGCAGTCCCCGCCTCAGCCACATAATTATCCAGCAGGCCATAGAACGCACTATACGTTGGCCGATCCTTGAATATCCCTGCATCTACATGTGCAAATAAGGGACGTGATGCGACGTCACCATTCTCGTACACCCTTTTACCACCCTGCGTGTCGAGGATTACGGATGCGTTGGAGCCTGGTGCACCGACTGACATGCGGTTTGTGTCGAGGGACCAGAGACGGGCCATTGCGGTGGACATGGATGAAAGCTCGGATTGGGTGGGGGTTGTGTTTTGGGTGGTGTGTGGGACTTGTTGTTGTTGGGGTGGTGTTATGGGCTGAAGAGGCTGCAGGGAGATTGCTGTATCAAAGAAAACGAGTTACATGTCATAAAAGACTGGGACGATTCAATACATAGTCCTACCGGCAGGTGGAGCACTCTGAGGCTGCGAGTTCGATCCAACAGCACCAGCATAACTAACAGGAGCCTGTCCAACCTGCTGTACTTCAGGCTGCTGTTGAGTTGGCACAGGCTGCTGCTGCTGCTGCTGATTTTGAGCATTGACATCCACTCCGAGGAATGACAGTATCCCAGCGAGTAATGGCGACTGTTGCTGCTGTCCATTACCGCCGTTTCCGAGTAGCGCAACGAGGACTCCTATAAGTGGGTTCTGGCCTGCAGAATTTGGGATTGGTTGGCCGTTCTATGTGTGAGATTCATAATGTTAAATGTTCGTTGCGAATGTTTGTGTGTTTGGAGGATGGAAGCGTAACGGAATGAGAGAAAGCAATTGATACGTGCATCATCAGTTTGCTTTCTACAGTTGCAGAGATCTAGTAGGCCTCCCATCTCGACCAGCGCTTGGTTTAACTTGAGCTAATGTGGGATTGGTGCTGAAAAGAAAAGGTCTGCTCTAAACTACCATTTGAAGAACCAGAACGTGATTTACGCTAGATCACAAACGAGACGAACGAATTACCGCAAAGCACAAGATCTAACCCCGAAAAACAATCTTATCATATATCTATATACGTTGGCCAAATGTAAAAACTACACCAAGTCCTCTCTCTTCGTCCCATCATCATACCACCATCTTCCCCCTTCCATAAACTACATAATCAGCGACGAAACATCTTCAACACCGTCAACACGACCCACACAAACGCAGCCGGTCCAGCAAACACACACCATGCCAGCGCAGTCGATATAACCGATGGCGTAATTCTAGCAAACACCTGGTTTACTTGATCCCTCGTATCCTCCACCCGTCCCGAGTTATCAATCACGATATCTGCGAGTTTACGTTTGTTTTCAATCGGCATCTGCGATGCGATGCGTTGGGATGCGGATTCTGCAGTCGAATTGTCGCGTTTCATGAGACGGTCTTTTTGGATTTCGTCTGGGCTACATAGTAAGAGGATATAATGGTATTAGATATCGTGCTGGTTGTATAAAACCACAGCTCAACATAACAAACCACATCATGACATACCAGTATACAACAACAACCACATGCACCCACTTATTAATCCCACTCTCCAACAGCAGTGGCGTATCCATAACCAGCACACGACTCCCACTCAAGAAAACCCACAACAACTGCCTCAGCATCTCCATTCGTATATGTGGATGCGTGATGCGATTCAACTTTTTGCGTGCCTCGGCATCCTTGAATACTAGACTGCCCAGTTTCTCACGGTTTAGAGTCCCATCTGGCAGGATTACATCGGGGCCAAAGGTGGCTGCTATTTGTTTTAATGCTGGTTGGCCCTTTTCGACTACACTGCGTGCGATCAGGTCGGCGTCTACTATCGGGATGTGCAGAGAGGAAGAGAGGTGCTTGGAGACGGTGGATTTGCCGGTTGCGATGCCGCCCGTTAGGCCTACGACTTTCATTGTTGTAGTTATTACTATTTAGTTGGCAGTTTGGAAGTTTGGAGTTGACTTTGATTTTTCGAAACACCGAAACACGAGCTGGGACGCGTTTTGAGGGTTGTACTAGTACTTTACTTTCTTTACTTTACTTTCTTCTTTTCATTTTAATAGAAATATGAGCTGAAAGATATTAAAATTCGTGGTTTTTTTGGACGATATGATATTATTGTTTTAACATATGAGGAGAATACTCTACTACTTTGCTACACGTTCTTACGCGTTGTCGTACACCAACATCAACCAACTCACTATCTCACATAACAACACACGTTTCATCCTTCTGCCTCTCCGCAATCTTCTTAACCTCTCCATCAAACAGCTCCCTCAACTCCCTCACATCATTCTCCATCGCCTCACTCGCCCTAACACTTCCACTCAACCCCTTCTCAGCCGCAACCAACCACCTCCGCGCCTCATTCAAATCAGCTTTAACCTCTTCATCACCAACTTTATACCCCACATTAAATATCTTGACCAAATTCAGTTGTGACGGCGTAAAACCCTGTGTCGCAGCCATACGAAAGTACTCGATGGCCTTCCATAGCGATTTCGGGAGGTAATATCCGTATAAGTGCATGTTTGCGTAATCGTGTTGGGCTGCTGCGAGGCCGGCTGTGGCTGCTTGTTTGCACATGATGGTGGCCTTCTCCATATCCTTCATATCTGGGTCGCGGTATATTAGGACGAGGCCGTATGTTGCTTCGACGTTTCCTAGTAAAGAGAGATGTATCAGTGCGTGTAAAACAATGGGTATGATAGAATTAGGGTCAAATGCTGCGAAAACAAAGTGCAGAAACAAAAGCCAGCGCAGTTGTCAAGATTGCAATCCACACACTACATTCACACACTACAGCACATACCTAAGTGATGAGCCTTCATCAAATACTCGTGCGCAAGCTTCAGATTCCTCGGCACCTTATTCCCATTCTTGAACATGAATCCAAGAGCCATCAACGCATCCACATCATTCTTACTTGCTGCCTTGCGCAACAATTCGACACCAGCTGATGCATTTGTCGATAGTTTAGCACTTCCAACCCAGGTCTGTGCTTTAGGATAGCCTTTTAAGGCGAGTGATTCCATGTGGTGTTTGGCGAGTTTGGATTCTTCTGGAGTTCCTATATGTAGCGAAAAATGAAGAAAAGCCGGGATGGTCGTGGTCAAACCGTGACGAGAGTAGTACCTCGTGAGAGATACATGGCGTATCTGAATTCGCATTCTAGGCCGCCGAGATTTGTGCCTGCTTTGAAGAGTGCGAGGCCTACAGGTCGTGTTACTAGATATGAGACGTGGTTTAGTTGATAGTTTTACGTTCAAGGGGCAGAAAAAACATTTAAACCAATCAAACATCCAACCACTCAACATACCTTTACTAATATTACACATCACGGTTCCAAGTATACCCATATCATCTGGTGAGCACACTAATGAATGCAAACAAATATTAGTAACCCAAGAAGCATATGCATTGGCAAATTGAATATCACAACCCTCATCCTACACATACGTTTGGCAAGATCAGAAGTTAGATTTGGATTAGGAGTGTTGAGCGAGTCGACTGCCAGATCAACGACTTGTTTAGCGACAGTTCCATTGACTTTGATTTCATTCTTGTTGTATAGCGATTGGTACTGAGATAGAGATGGTAAAAAGTCTATGCGAGACAAAGCTTCATTAGGACGTGCTGTGTGTGATGGTGTTTCAACGAAGAGTTCACACCACGAACGTCAGGTTCCTTTTTCCTAATGAGACAAGAAGACGATTAAAGTTGAGTACATTCATACCATAAAAGAAGACAGCAGTGCACAACATAGATCGTTACAGGTTGCTTGGGTCGACATTAATATCCTTGAATATTCCACCAAATTGATTTGTGGTAATAGTCCGTGCATGGCGTAAGTGACGCGTCCACGCCGTGTTTCGTAAGTGCAGCAATACAATGCGAAGAAGGTTCATTTCTTTCTCTTCCTCTCTCTCTTAATAAGTCTCCACCTTTTTCCAAACTTCAAAAACCAGTAACTTCATATAGCAATCAAGATGAATCCACTTCCAATGAGACCAGTGCAATCAAAGGCGAGCCATTCTATGAAGAGACTGGTGCTCTGTAGACATGGAGGTACCGTACTTTATACTGTTTGAATCGTGTGTTTTCAAACGACGAAGATTTGATGTTTCCTTCATTTCTTTTTCGTGATGTAGAGACGAGTGCCAACTACAAGAAGCTGCTACAAGGTTAGATAACGCATCTTCCTGCATATGTCATCAGTCGCGCTAATATCGTGTTCTTAGGACGAGGAATTGATTTGCCTCTAAACGAACGTGGTGTGGTTCAAGCCAAATCACTCGCCGAGAGATTGAGAACTGAGACTGTGGCAAGTACCTTGATTCCCGATTAGTATCTACAATCGTATGCTGAATGCAATTTCTCTATTAGGAATTCGTCGGTACTTCAAACCTGAAGGCATGTCAACTACACGTCATGTGCATAGCCGAACTCATACTAACAACACACTCTGCTTTTTACTTAGCGAGCACAAGAAACAGCCAAAATAGTGCGCCAACACCACCCAGCCGCCACCTGGTTTGAAAACCCAGATCTAGCTGAAATATCGTGGGGTGCTTGGGAAGGTACAACTGCGACGGAAGATGTTGAATCCCTGCTCCGGAATTGGGATGAAGGAGACTATGAGGCGTGTGCTCCTGGAGGTGAATCGCCGTTTGTGGTGGAAGAGCGCTCCGTGTCGCTCATCTATAACTTGATACGGGCGAGGCAGGAGGATAATCTAGTGTGAGTGATATATAAGTGTCGCATGGTCTCGTTTTTACATTGAGCTCTAACACTCCCTTCACATGCAGGTTTATTCTACACGGCCGCCTCCTACGCATCATAATGTCCTCCCTAATCCACCGCAACCTATCACAAATGGATTCCTTCCGACATCATAACTGTAACATCAACGTCCTCGATGTTGAAATCATGGATCCAGCATCATCTTCGCAGCTGTCGAGTGAGGTGCAACCTGTAGATCAGGAAACGAGACGGGCTACTGGATCTGCTCTGTCGCATCCACAGGATATGAAGATAACGGCTACGATATTAGATGACTGTACGCATTTGACTGATTATCTTTTGTAATGTGTTTTGGTGTTGGGGGGTGGTGTATTTATAGACGAATAAAAAGGTTGGCTTCATAATAGAATATTTCATCTCGTGTGGATTTTTTGGCGTTGCGGGGTAAACTACGTGATACACACGAATCATATCGAATACACCCATGAAAGCGTGCCATAACACACTCCTTTCGTGTAAATGACGTGTGAAGTCTCCTCTGAATCCCGATTGGCGTCACTGATGCACAACCACATTCACACTTCATAACATATAGAGAATGGCAACATCAAAAGTAAAGTACTCTCTAGTAGCGCCACAACGCACTCCAACCCCCGTAAAGAAGGTAGAAAGGGTGCTTTCGCTCGTCGAGTTGTGCCAGAAACAATTGATGAGAATACCTCGTGAGTGTTTCTTTGTTGGTGGATTCGTCAGGTATTTCTAGTTGCTGACATGTACACTGGGAATAGAACTGTCGAATACGTATGTTGGACGAGGTGAGTGTCGGATGAACATTTGGAAACCATCGGATTTTGAGAGTTGTGGGGAAAGTGGTGATTTGGTTGGTGATGAGGAGGTAGAGGTGTGGTTACACGCATGTTTTGGACTCTTCTCAACGAGGTTCCGATCAACATTGCTTCCTCGTATCGTTGTCATTGGCACATCGCACTATTCGCAACACCCAATTTCACCATGTTACAACCAACATGTGTTTACATGCTAACTTTCTCGTTGTTATTAGTACCTTACGCTTTACTATATCCAATCATGGTCAACTTTACAGAGAAACAGGCAAGTGCTCTCCCCTCCACACTGTCCTCCTAATTCCTGCTGGTATTTTTCGTATCCTCGACGATGATATCTGATCCTTCATGCCTTGCCCAAAACTTCCAACTAACGTCAAACAACAGCTAGAAACATTCGAAAGGAAAAACCCAGATATCATCCCAGACTGTGACGAACTATGGCAGAAAATATACCTGAAGCTCAACCCGTCGTCGCAACCACAAGAGTCGACACTTGTTACATCATGGAGGAAGCTAGTATACAAGGAGAAGAAGATGCAAGAAGAAAAGAGGCTGAATGCTGTGGATAGGATTAAGAGGAGGGCTGAAGAGGAAGGTAAATGATGTCAAGCCATCGCGAGGCAACACTGGTTGTTTTTTGGTGATGAGAGATACATGATTGGATCCACGGCTATGGTGATATATCACACCGCAATCATCTCACCATCCCTGCCTTTTCTTGTAACGACAGCCAAGAGAAAAGACGAAAAGAAAACAATCTTGCTCCAACCATCATCAATGTCTAAATCTAAGCAAGTTAAACTTGGATTCAAGATGGATCCTGCCAAGCAGGCGAGACAGGTGGCGAGGCAGAAGGAGGTTTCTGCTACAAAGTAAGATAGTAGCATATTCATCGCGTCCTGGGTGTTTTTTTGGCTTACATGGACGTTTGGGTTTGCATAGTCGTACTATTGACGCACTCAGTAAACCGATACGGAATTTGAGTGTATGTGTTTGTCTTTGATTCATTATGTGATTCATTATGTATTAGTGATTCTGACAAGTGTTGTGATAGGAGGAACCATCAGTATCTCGAAAGAGATAGCGTCTCCTTCAACGTCTGTTATGTCTGGCGCTTTTACCTTATTGTACATTATAGTAACCATTGCTTCGGCCTGTATATCAAAAGAGGACATTCCCTTATAGAACCCATAGAAGTCATACATTCAACATTTGAGATAACATAGTGCTTATGCTGTAACATGATGCAAACATAGTGCATTTTGCTTTTTGTATAAGAGATTTAATGCATCATAACAATACATATAATATTCAAGACACGCAGCCATCGAGTCGCTGCACCAGTGGCTCTCAATAACAGCGTTTCATATCTCATAGACTTGGGATCCTTCCGAGATTCGGGTGCCGGGATCAAGAAGATATTGTCTTTGCTGGTGCTCTGGCTTGCAAGGAAACCTCCACGTCATCATATTTGAGTTACTTTTATCTCGCAACGTTTTTCTCTTGAACATAGGTAATGCAGCGGTCCCAAGCCCGGAGAAATGGAGACGGCCTATACTACTAACGACTTCCGTACTCAACTAGTAGAGTGTACAGAATAGTAGAAAGAAGGTATCAGAATGTAAAGAAAAGAGCTGCACACTTTTTGCTCAAATATTGTCTTGTATTGAATGTCACATGATGATCGTGCTGCGAATAGTCGGGCGAAAGCTCCAGCAGATGGGGATGGCACTAATGAGATATAAAAGGCTTGATACACAGCACCCAAACCCGGAATGCTAGAACCCACAGAGATTCTCCTCGAAAAACAAGAATAATTTGATTCAACAATTGGTAAACACGAGCTTGTCCTTTGGTAAAGAGACATCTCTTAATGCAAAAAATACAGCATACACCTCACAACTACCAAGTCTTTGCACCAGGCCCCAGCACCTTCTCAATAATCGCATCACACTTCTCAATAAACTTGTCAACTTCCTGTTTCGTAGTTTGTGTGCCAGCACCAATAAGATGTTGCCTTGCCGGTGCTCTGTCTTGCAGGAAACTACCTGGTTGTGCCTTCACTCGCACTTCGTCCGATATGGATGCCCATATTGTTGTGTCGCAGCCTTGTTGTGGTGTTCGTAACGAGTTCTGTGTGTTGGGATGTGTGGTGGTAAGCCAGCAGATGTGGATTCACAGGCAAAATGTGCTTTTTTTTGTCGTCATACAAGTACGAGCGACAAAGTTAATTGTTACCTTCAAAGCATTATAAAATCCAGGAAGCGACTTTTCAACACCGGGCGTCTCAGTCCAGCATGGATGCATTGTATAAAACAAGACTCTTTCTTTGCCAGATCCGTATTTTGTGGTTTGTTCTTCTGCCCATCGCTAATAAAAAGTAAAGGAAAGTTACGCCAATGCGGTCATAACGTCTGTCATACCGATACTGGAAACTTACATTAGTCATTTCGACTTGTCGCCTCTTGTCTTGAGCATACGACATGACACCATCATATGGATTCAGTTTCTCGAATTCCAAGTCATCGGCATCAAGTGCTTTGTTGTACATTCCAGCTGATGATCTAACATGTAGAGTCGTTTGTGTCAAATGAGTTAACATCCAATCAGAGTGTTAACGGCTTTTTTTCGCCGGTTTCTGTTGGCTAGGCTCACTATCGACCAACCCGCCGCCCCTTATATCAGCAGAATGAACTTACACAGTAACGACCCTCGCATCATCGGTAGACTCCAGCACAGGAGTCAACAACCTCGTCAAGAAATACGTTCCTAAAGAATTGAGTGCAAAACTAGTCTCAATCCCTTCACTAGTCAGCTCCCGTTTCGTAGACATGGCTCCGGCATTGTTTACAAGAACGTGCAGGGGCTTGTGTTCTGCAACAAACGAGTCTGCGAATGATTTTACAGAGTGGAGCAGTGACACGTCACATATCGCGACTTGGACGTGTTGGTTTCTGTTTGTAAGGGAGGGAATGTTTGAATGTCAGAAATGGTTGAGGGATACATACTGGATTTTTTTTTCCATTGCGTCACATACCCAGTCTCCTTAACAATCTCGTCTTTAGCTTTCGCACCAGCTTGAGGGTTTCGACATAGCATCAAGACATTGGCACCTCGTTGAGCGAATTCCTTGGCTGTGCTGAAACCTAATCCAGAGTTGGCACCTAAATCAAAAAATGTGGAGCCATATACTCAATGCAATCAGTAAGAGCAAGCCTTTGGTACCAGTGACAATTATAGTCTTTTCCTTGAGGTCCTTATCCAAAGCACCCGGCGTAAACGACAGAGAAGCACGTTCAAATCCAGATTTGGTGTATTCTCGTAGTCCGATTGCAGCAAATACCTATGTGAATCCACCAAAAAAAAATGCTTGAGCTAATGTTGTAAGATAGATCTCGAATGCTTCATCATACAGTAGATCTGTATCCAACATGAATAGATTCCAGCAAAGAGGATAGCATTATGAAGTCAAACAAGCTTTTAATCCAAAGAAGAGTAATGTCTGGCTCTTTTTGCAATGCGGGAATGTCAGTACTGATGTTTTGAACGGTGATCAGATATGCGATCGCTGCACCAAATGGAATTATATGGAGAGCACGACTTGCCTGCTATTGCCACGTAGATATTCCACTGTATTCCTCTCTGTTCGTTGTGGGTTTCTCCGTAGCTACGATCGTCGTGATTTTCAAAAATTTGGAAGTTGGCAAAGAATGGATGTGCGAGCTGGTTTGCCAGGGACGATTGGAAGGACACCGCTGATAGAGTTAAAGTCCCTAACCGAGCTCTGTGGTGTCAGAATCTTCGGTAAAGGTACGTGATTTAGCTGTTTGTGATGTGTTGTCGCTGCATTACAACTTGGAAGCTTGGATGAACCGGACGGCAACGTGTGGAATCACGCTTTGAACATCTTTATGCTCTTGTCTGATGCCACAATTGCGTCTTTTGACGTGGATGTTCAACATTTGACATTATGAGCTCAATGTTCTGCCGACAACTTTTGACATTACATTAGCTAACCCCACATCTAACTAGCTGAATTCCTGTCACCCGGTGGCAGCGTCAAAGATCGCGCAGCCCTTCGTATAATCACAGATGCAGAATCCAGTGGCAAGCTAAAACCAGCTGGTACTTTGGTCGAAGGAACAGGCGGAAACACGGGCGTAGCTCTCGCCCTCATAGCACGCTCACGAGGCTACAAATGCATCATATGCATGACTCGCACAATATCACTCGAGAAACGTGCCCTGCTCCACACATTCGGTGCTCAAGTTGTCTTGACAGAACCAGTGCCCTTCACAAACCCACAGCACTACTACCACGTCGCTGCATCCATCGCATCAAAGACTCCAGGCGCATTCTTTTGTAACCAGTTTGAGAATCTGAGTAATTATGCAACGCATTATGAGGGGACTGGACCGGAGATGTATGTGCAGTCTGGGAGGGAGATTGATGGGTTTATATGTGCGGCTGGCACGGGCGGGACGCTGGCTGGTGTGTCGTTGTATTTGAAGGGGCAGGATCCTCGGATAAAGTGTTTTTTGATGGATCCTCCGACGTCGCATCTATATCATTATGTCAGGACGGGTGAGCTGCGGCCGTTAGAGGGGAGTGATGCTGGGTTGGAGGGTATTGGGATTGATAGAGTTACGGAGAACTTTAAGAAAGCTAAGCTTGATGGTGTAAGTACAAGCTTTGTGTTTGGGTCTGCCGTTGTCTCGACAAAAGTATTTCTAATGGCAGCCTACACTTTTTTTCTCCTTCACAATTCAGGCATTAACAGGAACAGCACGTGAAGCAATCGAAATGGCATACTACATCCTGAAACACGAAGGCCTCTTCCTAGGAACCAGTGCATGCTTCAATCTTGTCGGTGCTTGCAAACTTGCGCTTCTCCTGAAAAAGTCTGGTGCTGCTCCGAGAGCTATAGCCACGATATTATGTGATTCGGGTGATCGCTACCTGTCGAAAATATATAGTGGAGAGTGGTTGAAGGAGAATGATTTGGTGCCGGTTGCGAGGGGGCTGGACTTTATACAGGTGGATGGGAATTTGTAGAATAGGAGGAGGGGTTTATTGGTGTATTTATAGTTCAAATGTAGTCAAGTTAGTATATCATTCATTCAGGACATCGGTTTAAACAGTCAGGAAGAGTTCGGACTTTGGGGATTGAGCAGCAAAAATCATGTGAAAGACTGGCTGAAAGCCCCACAACAGCAACGTTTGAATTGCATAAGTACTGTATGTCATTGAAAAGTGTCAAGAACGTATACAAAGTTGTAATCGTTTACGTTTGGTGGGAATGCAAATACTCACTCCCCTTACGACATTTCCGACAACCAACTGTGACTCCTCCGTTCATTAAATATCTCTGAAGCAACAGGCTCAACAACCTGGTGGTCGTCTTTGTATCCTCAGAGTAGTAGCGAAACGAAATCACAATCAGCAACATATAGCCCAGCAGTTCGAACATTGTTTTTTTGTTGATAAAAGTGCGGGCTCGACAGAGAGAAGGAGAGACCGATATATTCAGCAGTCTTGGCTTGTGGTCGTTATGAGTGTAGCATCCAAGCATGTTGCAATGACAGTTGATTGTAGGGATGGAAGGGCTATGGCATGAGTATTTGCAGGTGCAGGAGTGTTTACGGGTGCCGGTATCACAGTTGCCCGTGAAGTGGTTATAGCGCTCCAGTTGGGAGCCAGCGACCGCTTATGAAAGTTTGTTTGAATCCGATCAATCGATTGGATGGCTGCCAATTGTTTTATCGAATGGTTCAGATTACACAGAGTATATCTGGATTCAAAACAACGAGATTTAGATGCGAAAGCATCCACCGAGTATCTACACCGAGAGTCGTTGATCCGAAAGTTAATGATTGGTTATGTGATTCAAAAAAATTATCTTGTACTTGTTGATCAGACATCGCTGCATGAAGGATGAGGGGAATCATAAAAGTATGCGCAACTTACTGGAAGCTGGAACACAGATATTCCAGTGTCTTTCTGTGGCTCTCTTCGTACGCTTCTCCGTCAGCTGATTGTCGCAACCTAGTCTCAGGACTTCGGAACTTCGTCCAGGTGAAATATTTCAGTGATAAACAATTTCCATTCAGCTGAAAGCGCTTTCGGACAAATCTCATTTCACTCGTTTGAGTTAGGTGAATGATGTGCAATTACACACGATTGGTGGTGACCAACAAAAACAAAAACGTTTCACGATCGCGACTCCATTGCTGCCTATGCAGCGTGCTCAATATACAAGTTCCTGCCTTGTTATGTACAAACGTCTCAACACTATATACAAAGTCCTCCTTCCCCTTTATATATTAGATGCCAAAGCAGGATATTTCCCCTTTGCACCATTACCCTCCTGTCCGTCAAACATTTTGGGCGCAATCGTCTTTGCGGTCGGTGGTCTCGTAGTTCTTTCAAAAGCCCAGTGCCCCAAATTAGCCGTGACGAAAATCACGATCACAAGCATCATTATAGCCACGTTTGTAGACATGGAGTATAGTGATAGTGACTGTAAGATGGTTTCACCAGTTTCACCGCCTGTGAGACAACCGTGGTCGGTCGTCATGCAGGTGAAGTTTAAGCCTGTGAATTCTGTTTGAGCCCTATATGATGTTTTTGGACGGTTAGAATGAGCATACTGCTACTGACCAAAAACTGATAATCAAAGGAATCAAAATCAAGACAACCAGCTTGCTAAGCTTACCACGCATGGAATCCAAAGAATAGAGGATCAAGCCATGATACGATCAGTAACGGTTTCGGTATACTTGTAGGTACGGTGACATAACCAGCGAATCCAGCAAAAACTAATCAATGGTATACGCGTTAGATATGGGCAACCAAGGGAAAGGCTTTTTTTGTTTGCGGGTAAAATTACTTGTCGACACAAAAAAGAATAATGAAGTACGTATACGTACTTCCAATAAGAACCAACGACCACGTCAGTGATCCACTGACGGACCCAGTCAATGACCCGAACAAACACCCATAGGTATGACCGCTCAAATATACTAGATTTCCAGCAAGGAAATATATGAAAAATGATGCCAGATTTCTCTGTAAGCCAACACTATTGTAGAAACAAAGTGAGTGGGATGTTTCCACCGTTACGAGCCAAAATACAAAGGTTTTCAACAATACAGACAAACTTACAGGAAGTAAACTGCAGTCAATGTTGGCGTAGTGAGCCAAAGGTATTGAACCCATGTGGCGAAGTACTAAAGTTTGAAGTGAAATGAGCATCATGTATTACGATGTGCCTAATTTTGCTGATCCTTTTAGTAGCAAGAACCGTCGTGAACGTACCAAGGCCCAAAACGCCATACTACCATCATACATCCCAGCTTGCCGTTCCCTCATATACAAATTCAGCCTCAGGGGCATCTTCAACACAATACCAAAAATGGCTGTAAAGAATCTGTTCAATCCAAACATGAAGAAGAATCCAAGACGGGATTTAGATCCACTTTGATTTAATGGCATATCTGACCATAGGATGCCAAAGAGACTACAAAAGGGCATGGTAAGATGATTAGTTCACTGCGTCACAATACACTGATATGATTCTTGCAATTTTTTGCAGCTGACAAAGCTCCCCAAAAGTCAGCACCCAAAAATACGACCAATGCCGACACATACATGATAAATATCGAATTAGATATCAAACCCATCATAATAAGCGGCCTGTCTCTCAAATATATCTTCCACTGACGGAACATGAGTAGGGACACTCTCCACAACCAGTTAACAACCGGGAAGGCCCATATCGACCTCTTTTCTGTCTTCAAACGAGTTTCCGGTGGAGTCACGTATGGTGGGAAGACTCGTTGATCGAATCGTCTCTTCCAAACAAGTGCCAGATGGTTGATTCGTGTGGCTGATATTTCGAGGTTACGGTGTGATGATGTGTCGAATGTCGCCATGTCCTGTGAAAGGTGTGCTCGTTTGAGTATATGCTTTGAAAAAGTCCCAAGATATTTTGAAGCCATACCAGGAAATGATCAGCAGGGTTTGTCAACACAGGCACTGGATGTCCCATCTTGGAGAAATGTCTTGCGGCGGCTGAAAAGGGTCAGCAAGACACGGTAAGTCCACTTGAAACTCACGAACCGCAAAAACGTTGGTTGAGCTTACCTGCTACAGTTCCGAAAAACAAGACTTGACCACGAGCCATAATCAACACCTTATCAAACAAGTCCAAGATTTCTTTTCTAGGCTGATGAATAGAAACCATGACTGTTCGTTGCCCTTCCACAGCAGCACTTCGTAGCAGGTTGATGACGTTGAAGGCACTGAATGCATCTAGTCCAGACTGATATCTTTCGAGTTAAGACCATTCCCTTTTTGCTTGGTTTTCAGCGAAAATGCACTTACAGTAGGTTCATCCAGCATCATAATCTCAGGTTCTGACAAAAGCTCCATAGCAATATTCAACCTTTTTGCCTCACCACCAGATATACCACGAGCTAGCGAATCACCAATCCTGGAATCTAGGCAGTCAAGCAGTCGCATTTGCTGAGCAACTTTTTGTACTCGGGCTGCCCGATCCTCTGCTGTTGTGCTTTCACTCAGTTTGAGGAGAGCGCCATAGTTCTGCAGAGCGAAAAAGGGTCAACTCTCACAGAAACAGAATTTGTTCTGAAACAAAAGATTCTTTACCAATGTTTCTCGAACAGTCAGAGCTTCCCAAAAGATATCTTCCTGTTGTACATATCCAATAGACTTGCACCATGTAGCATCACTTCTATAATTGTTGAACCGAATGTCTCCGGCTACTTGACCACCTTTTGCTCTACCACTTAATACGTCCATCAGTGTTGACTCTAAATGAAATTGCTCATTGTGAGCTATCGGATTGTTCTCTTGCATCGCAGTACTCATCAAATATCAACTTACTTCCAGCACCAGAACCACCCAAGATAGCCAACAATTCACCAGGCTTCGCTGTCCCATTCAGATTGTGCAAAATATGTTTACCGCCACTAGCGACTTGAACTTGATAATTGAGATCCCTCCAACTCAACTCAACACCACCAGTAGATTTACGCCACGGACTCTTTCGTGGCGTTACCGTAACCGGCGATTGCAAATCAAATCCTTCATCTCTTGCCACTTCTACTTTACTCGGCAGGACACTTTGCTGTCCCACAGGAACCTTCATTCCCTGCATATTGACTATTTGCTGCGAGAATCGATGGGTGGGCAGATTCATATACAGCGACTCGTCACTCGGTTTCGAACAAACACTCCTTATGGTTCCTTGTTCAGCAGCTATGGCATCCGCCATCCAATACTTGAGCGATGCAGTGGGTACGCGATCATACGATGCAAATGATTTCGGTGATGCTGGTGATTGCGGTAGTGGTTTGTTTAATGGAGATGTTGGAGACGTGGTCGTTGTCGGAGAAGTTGCATCTGACGTGGGTGACTTTGGTGATATTGGCGATGGTATATGTAGTGATGATGGTGATAATGATGGCGATGCTGAAGGTGCTGGTGATTGCGGAATGGATAGTCTGTTGGTTGAGCGAGAGCTTGATGCGATAGTTGTTGGGCTGGTGGTTGTTATAAACGGAACATCTAAATATGTTGCATTACCAGGTGATTGTGGTGGCGGAATGGCTACGGCATAAGTATTTAGAGGTGCCGGAATCACAGATGCCCGTGAAGACGTAATAACGGGGCTGTTTACAGATTCCACTAAAGGTACTCTCGAGGCAGATGGTATAGCAATAGCATGACTGTTTATAGAAGCTGAAATAGAAGTTGACCGTGGAGACGGCATTCCTGTAGAAAGCCTGTTTACGCGTGGTGGTGGAATCACCGGTGCCCGTGAAGACATGACAGGAGCACTGTTTACAGATCGCATTACAGCTGACTGTGCGGTGGTTATTGCAGCACCGTTGTTTACATTTACAGGTGCAATCAGTGGCGATTGTTGAAGCGACGTGACTCTAGGAGATATATCATCCTTCAAAGGTGTTATCGGAGACCTAGGACCACGTAAAGGTGATCGTGGCGATCCAGCACTGCCTGGTGGTCGTGGTGATAATGGGCTTGTACTGCTGCTGTTGTACAGAGACTGCCCATTGACGTTTGCAGTTGCAATGTCCAGATACAAATTATTACTGCTAGCTGATCTTGAAGACTTCACCAAGGTCCCATTCTTCCAGTTGGGAGCCAGCGACCGCTTATCAAAGTTTGGCGGAATCCAATCCGGATTTTGTTCAGCTGCATGTTGGACCTGTATTGAACCTTTAGCATTCGGTGCTCGACGTTTCCGTTCTGGAGGTACGGGAATCGTGGATCCTATTGGTTGTGGTACTGGTAATGATGTCGGCCTTTGGCGATTGCGTTCACCCTCCGAGTAAAGGCGTTTGGGGTACACTCGTTGAGGTTGTTGCTGCTGCTGCACATTATCGGTATTGGGAGATGTCGAGTCCATTTCCAATAGGACGTTCGAGTAGCCTGGCTAATCTTGAAGTGATCTCTCTTTGACAAGCTTCAGTCTTACGTTATCAAATGCATGGTACGTCGAATCGAAAGCGGTTCCCTTTACCAAGCAAACAAAGCAAAAACACACCAATCACAATACACTGAAGATTCGGAGGTCTGGTATATCAATAGATCTACGTTCACATTCATGGTTTAAATCATCTCATCTCATGCCCGTACGTCGGAGTAACCAAAAATGCGAAATGCGTCGCTCAACATTGAATGCCAATATTTTCGACCATGAGAACAATAACCAGGCACAGTTCTCCCTCATCTACACATATTCATTTTACTATGATCTAATTTTACATTTGGCGCGTTGATCTACGCCGTTTGGCAATGCTAACTATGCTACGACTTCGATCGAGTCACACCTGATGGCTCTATCCAGCAAAGACGAGAGCCTTTCTTCGCTCATGTGATCACGGAATTTCACAGCTATTTCCATAATACGGAGGAGTTTAGCATTTGCTTTACTACGTCGCTTCTCTACAGCTTCCAATAGCATATCAACATCAATCCCCTCCTTGGTCGTGTAGTCAAAAATACAAGCTTCTCTAAGTCTGAGACTATATCATGCAAGAATTGATTAAACATGGGCATCTTCTCGTCAAATGCTCCGTCAAATCCTTCCAGTTCAGGCTGCTCCAGATTCCGTGCGTATTCTGGCACCAGACTGGGATCAAAGGGTGGAAGAGTCAAAATGTCCTGCTGATACAAGATTCTTATAAACGTAAGTTTATGGCCGACGGATTTCAGAAGGGCGTTGAGATCTCCTCTTTGAGCATTGTCTGAAGATATCATCGAGACAGCAAGTTCACTTAATTCACCAAGGACTGGCCGGGAGACCGTCTATGACGTACAAGGAGGAGATCTACCAGGGTCGATGCATTTACAGCTATGAAGCTAGTTACATCTATAGGGGGATTTGGGTCTATAGCGGCGCTGACATGAGTGAATCCTGAGCGAAAGGCCTCAAGCTATTGTTGCCCCATTTTACCCCGGTAAGCCAACTCTCGCAAGCATGCAAACGACCTACTATCGGGACTGTCTATCAAGAAGCCATTGTCGACGGTCAAACTAATCAAGGTTTCTCGACTATGGTTTAAAGCGGCAAGGCTAAGAGGGAGGGTCCGGCCATCGGTCGATTCTACAGTGAAGTGAGACAACTTCGTTCGAGCCAGCAACGGTGACATTATCCACAACAACAGGTGCCAGACTTGCAGCTCTAGTTTCTTTATATTTGGTGGTTGATCACAACAACTTGCCAACTTTGCGCCTCCCAGAATTCTCTACTATTCGGATGTTCACATTCCGAACTTATTGCATGCTTTACAGACTAGAGCCATATTCATGAGACATTGGTTTGCTGCTGTCTCCTCCAGACGTTTAATGTGTTCGGAAATGACGAGAAGCAGCTCGGTCGGTACTATGATCTTCTTTATAAGGTACTTGACATAAGTCCATAATTTTGATACTATTGATACAACGGATGTTGTTAAGATCCTTTAACTGGAGCAATAGAAAAAGCAGTTTGGAATCTGATAATGTACTAGATGTATCTATCTACTGGGTTACCTGTATACTAATATGAAGCAATTCCAACGATGCTGTTTACTGCAGTCTCCGAGATGACCAAATGTTTCATGTTTAACGATTTCAAGCGCAGTATTTAAGCTCCAACTTAGCGGTGCAGAAAGCGCGTTTGAGGTGAAGAACTGAGAACGAATGAGTATATGGCCATCGTGCAAATGTGAGAACTAGCCTTATCCGCGTTGGATCAAATTCACACAAAATTAGTGACGAAAATGCAAAGTAACTCTATACATCATAACATATATATCTATAACGGCTGAAACTGCTCCCCCGAAGTCTCATACTCATACATATCCAGTCCCACAATACACGACTCTCTAACAACCCGCACAGGATCTTTCGAATACTTTTGCAAAACAGGCAGACAGTCATCTGTAGCTATTGACCCTAGCGCTTCAGCACATTCATGTCGAACCATTCCTTCTTCGGATTCATTCGATAGTGTCTATGGTAGGTGTTGACTTTAGCCAAAGGGATCAAAAACGAGATGTGCTGAACTTGGATACCTTAATCAAGGAAGGAATAGAAGCCGTATGCTGCATTTGTCCAAAGACATATGCTATTTCATGTCTGAATAGCGCCGACTCGTCTTTGAATCCTTCTGCGAGAGCCTGCGTTGCATTGCGTTAGGCGATGCTAACAGTTCTCACCTCAAAAAAAACAAGACCCAAGCAAAACGTACGAGCACAGACTCCTCATCGCCTCTATTCCTCAACGCAAACATAGCCCGATACCTCTCAAACAACGGCAGAGAAGAATCCAATAACGTTTCCTTTAACTGTGCTGTTGTTTTGGGTATGGTGCTTGGAGGTGCTGGATCGATTGAGGTATACATACTAGTAACAGTAAACGACTTAGTTAACCATAACCAAAAAAACCTTTTTCAAAGCTATGGCACCTGTACCTTGACGTATCCTCACTCCCACCATCCCTGCTCTTCCGCTCCTCATACGCAATCTTCTCAATAGCCAGCTCGCACGTCTCTGCCACTACACGCACTGGATCGTGGCGATATGTTTCGAGTACTGGTAGCGCGGAGGGGTTTGCGATTGCTCCGAGTGCTTCTGCGGCCTATGCGTTAAAGAAATCTCAGGTTTTTTTTGTTGGACTTTGAAACATTGGATCTGATCAGAACATACCTCATGCCTAACCATCGCATCCTCTCCAACGTCCGACAGCACAGTATACAGCGTCTTGTTTGCATACGAGTTCTTCATTTGGCCTAGCACGTAGGCTAGTTCGTGACGGAGGAGGGCCGATGGATCGGTAAATGCTAATGAAAAAAGCACGACGGGTCAATAAGAAGACATGAATTTCATAATCCAGCATGCAAATGATCATACCTTTAGATATGATATCAATAGCCTGTTCAGTTCCAAGCCCCTTGAGATAAAACAGGGCTCGGAAACGTTTGTGGAGAGCAGTTTGACCATCCTTGTTTAGGAGGAGACGTTCTAGTTCTTTGTAGTCTAGTGGCTGACCTGTCGTGCTGAGTAGGGCGTCTACTGAGACTGTCATTGTGTGGGGATGCTAGGCTAATCTCGTCAATTTCTTTCGCAAAAAAAGGCCATCGAAGTAATAATGGATGTCGCAAATCAACTTGACACGTATCGAAGCTATTTAACGCCAGATCAAGACGGGAATCGCGGTCCAACGTTCGCAAACACCCGAGATCAAAAAAAACACACTGAATCTGAGGGGGGAAAGTTTCATTTATAAGACACAAAATTCCTTTTTTACACTTTGCTCTCTTTTGGATCTCAAACAGAATACTGGATACATCACCACGAAAATCTTTTCTAGAAGATTTTGCTTTGCTCTTTTCGGTTCTAACTTCTCACTTTTGCCTGCATTTTCACCTCTTTTACATGGCAGCTGGAGCAACTACAGCGCCTGCCTTCATCTGTTCCATTACAGAAGCAAGATCTTCAACTTCGTGAGAAGATTTGAGTTCCTTTCCAGATTTGAGACCCATGGCGTTCTTGGTCAAAGAAGGAGTAGATTCTACATTGACACAGGGTTGAAATCAGCCTATCGTCTGCCTGTGACGATAGATCCAAAAAAATGAGAAAAGCCCGATACACACCAGTTTGAGTGATGACTTCCTTCAGCTCGTCCATGTCAACATCTTCACCTTCACCCATTTCATCATCTTCGTCGTCTTCATCGCTCTCTTCTTCATCCTTGTATTCTTCATCGTCCTCGTCGTCGCTCTAATATAATGAAAGGATGTATGAGTCATTAGTGCTGAAGGCCGAAAAAAAACGACGAAGAACAGCATATGACTTACGCCGAATTCAGCCATGTCTACGGTACGGTATTCACCACCGAATTCATAACCACTACGCAAGACCTTGGCTTCTTCCATTAGGAGAGGAACGGCAGATTCGTCCTTGTCAACAACATCGTTGATGAGTTCCTTGACCTGTGAGATTGTTGAAAGTCAGAAAACGAGGATCGATTCGATTTGGATAGCCATATAAATTCATACTTCATCATCATCGACGCCCTGTAGAGTGGTGAAGGTGGTCAGCCACATTATCCCTCCGCAATGTCTGGATGAAGGACATACCTCTTGACCAGAAGCAGCTTCGGCTTCCTCTTCCTCATCTACCTCATTCTCACTCTCGTCTTCATCGGCTTCCATATCCTAATAAGAGGGCAGCAATGTGGTTAGTATGGGAAGCGCAGTCAGCAAGCACATGCGAAGTTCAACCACACACATCGCCTTCTTGAGGTTGAAGATTCATATCCTTGTAGTCTTCATCAGCTTCATCATCCTCTTCCTAATAATATTGAATATCATATATTGTTAGACGAGTCTTTCGATGCATTGTAACAAAGCCCAAAAACATGGGACGTTGATGCTTCGCATCCCAACATCAAATGCCCGTAGATCTCGATGGCAATCAAGCATGAAATCAATTGATTTGACAATATAAAAGCAAAATTAAATCAATGCAAACATAAACGACGTCAGATGTCGAATGCAATGCATCGTATTTCACACTTACAGGTAAATCGGCTTCAAGCAAATCTTTGAGGGCCTTCTTGTGTGCAGCAAGAGCCATGGTGCGTTGCTCCATAGCTTCGTCGGTTTCGATAGTTAACATTGCTGTAAGCTGTTACTTTTAATACGATGTTGTTATATGTATTCGATTGTCGTGTTTGATGGAAGAGTGAAGAATCGACTTCGCTCGAAATGGAGAAAGCTGCGGGCCGCACATGGCAGGAGGAGGACTGTATTTAGGGTCAATTTACTATTTAGTTGAATTTACATTTGATGGTCTCACTTGCATAGGTTTATCTTATGGATTTCACTCTCATTTGACGCGACAGTAACATCGTCTGCATAGTCTGCATTGGTGGTAAAAATCGCAATGTTTAATCTAGATTCAATACTCGTGTTGCTGCTGATTTCCTTTCTTCTTTTGACACTTCTATAGCTGACATCATCACATTCAAGCCCCATCAGAACACAGGACCTGAGTGAGAATGGGGAATCCAAACATCGTTCGACCCAAAAGCAAATGGTGGATCAATTAGATCTCCTCTTGAATCATACTCTTATATATCAGAACTAGCACAATTCGCAAAGAACGGTGTCGAAAACTCATGTGTAGTAGGAAGCCAATCATTCATACCATCCTCGCAACCACCTCGCAACAAATCTAACTTGCATCTCGGCTCTTATTCGATCATAGTTATCTGGAGGCCTAGAGTACAATGAGTTGAAAAGAAATCGTAGATAACCTTTGCTCGAGTTGCGACGAGGGTTTTGAGACCAATCGGCAAACACACGATACTTCCGACTATCAGATATCAAATGATACGAAATGATGATGTTCACATATTTCGATGTAGACAATCCCATTCTTGGGACTTTCATTCTTGGCCATTCAATCCTGCATGACATCTAGAGGAATCCTGTTATGCAGGTCTTTTGAATAGAGTCGTGTAAGACTGACTCCATTCGAACTTTGGAGAGCTGACAACTCGACCAATCCTCACACCATTCTGGATAATTTTGCCACGGACTGGCTTGACTGAATATCGTACATCCGATGTCATGTATTCGGCTGTGTTGGCAGTCTTTGGCCCAAACTGTGTGAACTGCTACTTTTCGAGGTGCAAATGGGAATCAATGTGAAACATCAATACTTGATGCCTAGTGGCTTTATCTCTACCAACTCAACCGGCTCCATTGTGTCTTGGGTAGAGACTTTGATTACGATAGTTTGGGTGCTCTAAACGAAGTCAGCGTTTGATCCTTTATGGGCGTTTCGAAAGAAACATTGCTTACAAGTGAGGCTCAAAGGTGGCTGGATCGCCCAGTGCAGTCAAATCCTTCTCTAACTCGTTCTTTCTTTTCCTAGACGGACTTGATGCGCCATTGAGGATACTACTAGGGATACTCTCACTGTTGTTGAAGCACAAGCATTTGCGAGAGACGATGCTTGATCCTAAACCTGCTGCGATGAGGAGTCCAGTCGAACAGAAGGTGACCAACGAATTTCACAAGTGCCCGTTGTACAGGATGATAGCGGTGAAGATCCTCGTAAGAGGGGAATGAGAGACATTTGTAGGAGGGAATGCATCAACAGACGCAATCTTGGAACGGGCCAAGCTTTAAGGGATGTGTGTCGGGTTGCTCTATCTTGTTTACGTGAAATATAGGTGTGGATTGGAGATCTGAAAACGTGTCGAGGACTCTAGACGTTTTGATCAAGTTTAAGGTGTCATTAGAACCCCAGAACACAAAAACTCTTTAAGCATCCAAACTCCAGCAAAATCTCAAACTAAAAGGTTGTCGAAACGGTCACCTCTCATTCTGAACTGGCACAGAACTGATGAGCATGCCGCATTATAACACACATTCTCAGCAAAACTGACATTCATTTCGCCGCTGTTTTAAATCACAATCGTACTTGTTCTAGAAGCTCAGAACTACAAAAGAACGAAGGAAAAACAGAACACTTGATGCTATTGCCAGGTTGTAGTCGAAAAAAGTGTTTGAAGTAATCGGCAAACATCGCCCTTCCGAGCCTCAGACACCAAAATTCAGCATAGATCCCTATAAATCTCACGTCCAAACGATGCATTCTAATCCAATTCTAACGCGAAACTTCCCATCTTCGAAATTCAGAGGTAGTAATCACTTTGGCGTGGAATGTCGCCCACGAGTACGTGGAAGTAAGACCTGCGAGATCAAAAGCACCCTTCACTAAACAACATATAATCTGCACGTGCCAGAGTTGTGTCTAACCTGTCGGCTGCGAACCTTTGGCTGCACCCAATGTGATTGCAATGGAAGATCATGACCTTGGAGACGGGCCACCACTGGAGTCTGGTGACGATGCGAAGGTTACTGAGCATGTACAACTCAGTGTGGACTCTCCAGCTGTTGTTGAAGACGCACCAACTCGAAATATTCTGTTGGTGGTTTTGACGCTGTCATTCATTGTGTTTCTTGGAGCATTCGATGGTGTAAGTCTGAGGAAATTGGTTGTACAATTGTGCTATTCACTCTCTACAGACTTGATTTTCTGATCTTTGCTTAGTCCATGGTCATCACTTCAACCCCAAAGTTGATTACATCACTTGGTGGAGCTTCCAAACTAGGCTGGGTAACGCAAGCGCCATGAATTGAAACATTTTGTCTTCTTCTTTTAACTTCTCTTCTTGGTGGAAAGGTTGGATCGGCCTACATCTTGACACAATGTGCTCTACTGCCAATTTGGGCTCGACTGTCAGATGTTTTTGGACGGAGAAACACGCTCTATATTGGCTGTATGTCATCAAGATATTGGATCACGTTGCACATGCTTTTTGGCTGCTGCTTTATCCAAGCAAGTCTCACGCTTTGTTGTAGTGCTGGTTTATACAACTGGAAGCGCTTTATGTGGAGGAGCTGTAAATATGGATATGATGATTGCTTCTAGAGGTATCATGCTGTGTCTTGGAGCCGAAATACGCTGTTCGATGTCTCTAAGCCTTTTTTTGTGCTCTTATAGCACTTCAAGGTGTTGGTGCTGCTTGCCTTGAGGTCGGTACTATCAAATGCTTGAAACCCAAGTCCGCTCGAATGTTGCACTTATCCGTATAGATTATATAGGGAATGCCCTTTATTATACTTTCTGAAGTTACGACTCAGAGAGAACGAGGTAAAACAAGGCTTATGTTTGACGAGGAAGATTCTCAAGCTCACAAGCGCTTCCATGACATTTAGGACAATATACTGGGTTCATTTCTGGTTCTTTAGGGGCTGGATTTATTATTGGGCCAAGTAAGGAGAAGATGAATTACAGAAAACACGCCCACACAACTGACACCGTTTCCCTCAATATAGCTATTGGAGGGCTTATAACTGACTATTTATCATGGCGAGTCTGCTTCTACCTCAACATCCCCATCTGCATTGGAATCTGCATCGTGTTTCACTTGTTTGTCAAACTGCCGACACAAGAACGTACATTGTGGGAGAAGCTGACTATCATTGATTGGGGCGGTTCTCTTCT